AGCCACATGGGCCAGGCCACATGTGTTTCATCTTAAGTGACTAATTTCCCTTTTTTTGGAATTAAAAAAAAAAATCTTTATTGTTGAAAGAATTGCAGATGTTCCCCTTTTTCCCCCTTCATGGACTCCCTCCCGTCTTCTCCACACTATTGTCTGTGTCCATTGGTTGTGCATATATGCATGTAAGTTGTTTGGTTTATCTATTCCTCCCCCCCATCCCTTTCCCCCTGAGGTTTGTCAGTCTGTCCCCTACTTCCATGTCTCTGGATCTGTTTTGATCATCAGCTTATTTTGTTGATTATATTCCATAAATAAGTGAGATCATGTAGTATTCGTCTTTCTCTGACTGGCTTATTTCACTTAGCAAAATACTCTCCAGGTCGTTCCATGCAGTCTCAAAGGGTAAGAAATCTTTCTTTTTTACAGCTGCATAGTAGTCCATTGTGTAAAAGTACTGCAGCTTTTTTATCCACTCATCTACTGATGGGCACTTGAGCTGTTTCCAGATCTTAGCTATTGTATGAACATAGGGGTGCATATATTCTTTCTGATTGGTGTTTCAGGCTTCTTAGGATATATTCCTAAAAGTGGGATCACTGGTTCTGATGGCAGTTCCATTTTGAATTTTTTAGGAAGCACCATATTGTTTTCCATAGTGGCTGCACCACTCTGCATTCCCAGCAGTAGTGTACTAGAGTACCCTTTTCTCCACACCCTTGCCAGAACTTGTTTGATTTGTTGTAGGCAGCCATTATGGCAGGAGTGAGGTGGTACCTCATTTTCATTTTAATTTTCATGTTTCTTGCCCATTTGTATGTCCTGTTTGAAGAAGTGTCTGTTCAGGCCTTTGCCCATTTTTAATTTGACTATTTGTCTTCCTTTTGTTGAGCTGTATGATTACTTTGTATATTTTGGATATTAATCCCTTATGCAGTGTATCGTTGGAAAATATGTTCTCCCAAACAGTAGGTTCCCTTTCATTTTGATGCTGGTTTTTTTGTTTGTTTGTTTTGTTTTGTTTTGCTATGCAGCTTTCAGTTTATGTAGTCCCATTTATTAATTTTTTCCTTTGTTTCTCTTGCACTAGGCAATATATTGGTGAAAATTTTTCTATGTATCATGATGTCTGAGAGTTTGCTGTCTATATTTCCTTCTAGGATTTTATGGTTTCACAGCTCACATTTAGGTCTTTTATCCATTTTGAGTTGTTTCTTGTGTATAGTGTAAGTTGGTGGTTTAGTTTTATTTTTTGCATGTACCTGTTCAGTTTTCTTAACACCATTTATTGAACAGAGTGTCTTCTCCATTGTATGCTCTTGCCTCTTTTGTTAAATATTAATTATGCATACTGTCTTGGGTCGATATCTGTGTTCTCTTTTCTGTTCCTTTGATCTATATGCCCGTTCTTATGCCGGTACCAGGCTGTTTTGATTACAATGGCTTTGTCATATAACTTGATATCTGGTATTGGGATCCTTCCAGCTTTGTTCTTTTTCAAGACTGCTGTGACTATTCGGGGTCTCTTTTGTTCCATATAAACTTTTGGAGTGTTTGTTCTAGATCTGTGAAATATGCCATTGGTACTACAATAGGAATTGCATTGAATCTATAGATTACTTACTTTGTGTAGTATGGACATTTTAATGATGTTGATTCTTCCAGTCTATGAAAATGGTATATGCTTTCATATTTTTATATCTTATTCATTTTTTTTGTTGTTGTTCCAATGTCCTGTATTCTGAGAACAGGTCTTGTACTTCCTTGGTTAAGTTTATTCCTAGGTATCTTAATTTTTTTGTTGCAATCGTAAATGGGATTGCTTATTTTTAGTTTTCCTTTCTGAATGTTCATTATTGGTGTATAAGAATGCCATCACTTTCTGGATGTTAATTTTGTAACCTACTACTTTGCCAAATTCATATATTAAACCTAGTAGTTTTTTTTATGGAGTTTTTAGGGTTTTCTGTGTACAATATCATGTCATCTGTGAATAATGACAGTTTCACTTTCTCTTTTCCAATTTAGATGCCTTTTATTTTTTCTTCTTGTCTGATCGCTGTGGCTAAGACTTCAGTACTATGTTGAATAAGAGTGAAAATGGGCATCCCTGTCTTGTTCCTGTTCTTAAGAGAAATGCTTTTAGTTTTTGACCATTAAATGTGATGTTGGCTGTAGGTTTTACATATATGGCTTTTATTATATTGAGATATGATCCCTCTATTCCCACTTTGCTGAGCGTTTTTATCAGAAATGGGTGCAGGATTTTGTCAAATGCTTTTTCAGCATCTATTAATATGATCATAATGATTTTTTTTTTTTTTTATCCTCACCCGAGGAGATTTTTCCATTTTTTTTGTTCAGGTAGAGTGGGAGGGAGAGAGAGGAACAGAGAGAGAGAGAGAAACATCGATGTGAAAGGAACACATCGAGTGGCTGCCACCCGCACAACCGACCAGGGCCGGGGACAAACTGCAACCGAGGTACTCGCCCTTAGCGGGAACCGAACCCGGGTCTCTCAGGACCGCAGGCCGACGCTCTAACCACTGAACCAAACCGGCCAGGGCGATCATAATGATTTTTATCTTTCATTTTGTTTATGTGGTGTATCACATTTATTGATTTGTGAATATTGTACCCACCTTGCATCCCTGGGATAGATCCCACTTGATCGTGACGAATAATTTTTTAAATTTATTGCTAGATCCGATATGCTAAGATTTTTTTAAAATATATTATTTCTTGACCTGGCTGGTTTGGCTCAGCAATTAGAGTGTTGGCCCACAGACCAGAGAGTCCCGGGTTCGGTTCCCACTAAGGACATGTACCTCAGCTGCAGTTTGTCCCTGGTCCCCGTGGGGTCGTGCGGGTGGCAGCCACTCGATGTGTCTCTCTCACATCAGTGTCTCTCTCTTTCTCCACCCCTCTCTCCTTCCCACTCTATCTGAAGTTGAATGCAAACATGTCCTCTGGTGAAGATTTAAAAAGTATATATATATATTTTTTTTCTTTATTGATTTGAGAGAGAGAGGAAGTGAGAGAGGGAGAGAGATAGAAACATCGATGAGAGAGAACATTGATTGGCTGCCTCCTGCTTGCCTCCCACTGGGGATTTGGCCCAACCAATCAAACTGGTGACCTCTTAGTGCATGGGTCGATGCTCAACCAGTGAGCCACACCGGCTGGGCAAATTTGCTACGATTTTGTTGAGGATTTTGGCATCTCTTTTCATCAGGCATAGTGGCCTGTAATTTTCTTTCTTTGTAGTGTAATTAATTGGTTTTGAAATTAGGATTATAGTGGACTCACAAAAAGAGTTGGAAGTCTTCCTTCATCTTGAATTTTTTGGAATAGTTTGAGGAGAATAGGTGTTAGTTCTTTGAATGTTTGGTAAAACTCCCCTGGGAAGCCGTCTGGACCCAGTATTTTGTTTGCCAGGGGTTTATTGATTACTGCTTCAATTTCCTTAGCTGTTAAGGCTTTCTGGCTCTTCCCAGTTGAATTTTAGAAGCCTGTATGATTCTAGGAATTTGTATATTTTGCCTAGGTTGTCTAGTTTGTTGGTGTATAATTGTTAATAGTATTTTCTAACAATCCGTTGTATTTCTGTGGTATTAGTTGTTACTTCTCTTTCGTTTCTTATTTTATTTGGGTCCTCTCTCTTTGTTTCTCTTTTTTTGGAATTTTTAAAAAATTAAATTATTGGGATGCCACTTCTCAGTTTCTGTCATTTAATGTAATTACTTTTATTCTGCCTTTTTTGTTTTTTGGGTTTTTTTTTTCCTCATTACTTAAGGCATATGATTTATTATATTATATCCAAAATTGTGTTCATTGACTAAAAATATGACTAAAAAATATAACAAAAAAGCCTAATTTTTTCACCTGCCTCACCTGATCAGTGAATTTTCTGATAACATGAAGGTCAAGTGTAACAGTTAGAGTATTTAAGTGCAAGCCAACTGATTATGTAGGCTAATTCAACCTAAAGCCTGGTCCACATACCAGTGCCATTGAGCCAGCATTTACTTTTCTGGCATGAGCTCCTTAGTTCATCCCAGACTGCTAACAACAGTGGGCTTTGCTAGCAAGGCCTTGTGACCAGAAATGGATCTCTAGCACTCTGTACAGAAGAACTAAACTGTAGAGTCGCCGAAGGTCAAGGTTTCTACTATCTTGTAATGAAGATGACATGTTTTGAAGAGCATTGATTTTTCTCAGATTTATAACCATTCCTTTGAAAATATACTCCCTGGATTTTTAGATATTTTGGCGTGTTGTTTTAGATTGTTTTGTTTCTTTCTTGATAGGAATTTTATTTTTTTGTTGGACAGGCTCTTCATGATGGAGCCACAGTTAGCTTCCAATATCTTAGTTAAATAACATAGTGCTCTACTCTTTGGTTACAAAGCACCTTGCTGTACTTGATTTCATTGATGCCCAAAATATCCCCATGACATAGACTTGGCAAGTGCTTGATACATTTTTTTTAAGTGCTTGATATTGTCCTTCACAGTTCATAGATGAAGAGAATGAGTGTCAAGTACATTTCAGAGTTAGGACTGTAAGGTAACTCATTGGGCCTTTCTTGCTTTTTAAGTCACTGGATTTCTCTCCCCACCCCCACCCCCACCCCTGAGAAAAATTTAAGGAGAATTTCTATTTGCTCTGCTTCAACTTTTTTTTTTTCTTTATTGATTTTTAGAGAGAGAAGAAGGGAAAGGGAGAGAGAGAGAGAAACATCGATGAGAGATGTTTGATTGGCCACCTCCTACATACCCCCACTGGGGATCAGGCCCACAACCTGGGTATGTGCCCTGACCACGAATCAAACCGACGACCTCTTGGTGCATGGGTCGATGCTCAACCACTGAGCCACACCGCCTGGGCTCTGCTTTAACTTTCAATATGGGAACAAATTTTTTCAACTACCTCAAATTCTCTTTGGAACAAGGCAAAGTATATTAATTGTCTGTTTAAATGCATAATCATTATCCTTCCAGATGTTACTATCCAGAACAGTGAGTTGATGAGTGGCAGCATGGACAAAGGAACACTGGGATCAGGTTCCAAGAACAATATTTTTTACATTTTGCTGCGAGACTGGGGCCAGAATGAAGCCGCCGATGCCATGTCACGTCTTGCCAGGCTGGCTCCTGTCTACCTCTGTGAGTATCTCAGCATCCTTATTTTATTGCTGTATTTGTTGGTGTTTTAGGGGTTTCTTCTGCTATTGTTTCATCCCCGCTTCCCACCCCACGCATATATACACACACACAGAAAGGGATATTTATTCCAAGCTAAACACTGTGTTTAATTTAAAAACATGTTTTTATTGATTTTAGAAATGAAGGGAGAGAGAGAGAGAAATATCTATTGGTTGCCTCCTGCACCCCAACTGGGGATCAAACCCACAACTTGAGCATGTGCCCTGACCAGGAATTGAATCAGCCACCTTTTGGTGCATGGGACGATGCTGAACCAACTGAGCAGCACCATTCAGGACTATGCTTTTCTTAATGAAATTAATGTGATACTGACTAATTTATTTACAGATTTGAATTTGCTTTTCAGTTGCTTCTCAAAATCTATAATGGCTCTCTGTTGCCTACTAGATAGGACTGTGTTACATAAAGGACCCTTTGTGGGCTGCTTCCAAGGTGCCTATGCACTCACTGTAGCCCTCTGGGCCTTCCATGAATCAGCCCTATTGGATTTCTCAATATTTTCATCATGTTCTTGGACTGTTCTATTTCATTTGTTTGCTCATGTTTCCTTTTTTATTCCTCACCCGAGGATACTTTTCTGTTTATCATCAGATAGAGTGGGAGGGAGGGAGAGAGAAACATCGATGTGATAGAGTCACATTGACTGGTTGCCTCCCACACAACCCGACCAGGGCAAGAGATGAACCGAAACTGAGTTATGTGCCCTTAGCCAGAATCGAGCCCGCGACTCATTGGTCCACGGGCTGACTTTTTAACCACTGATCCAAATCAGCCAGGGCTGTTTGCTCATATTTTTTTTTTTTTTTTTTATCCTCACCCGAGGATATTTTTCCATTTTTTGTACAGATAGAGTGGGAGGGAGAGAGACGAAGGGAGAGAGAGAGAGAAACATCGATGTGAAGGGACACATCGAGTGGCTGCCACCCGCATGACCAACCAGGGCCGGGGACAAACTGCAACCGAGGTACGTGCCCTTAGCGGGAACCGAACCCAGGTCTCTCCGGACCGCAGGCCGACGCTCTAACCGCTGAACCAAACCGGCCAGGGCTGTTTGCTCATATTTTAAGCATGCCATGGGTCAAGAGAATTTTGTTGCCCAAAAACATCTTTAGTTTACTCTACACTTGATTGATTCTTTGGCTGGGTATAGAATTCTCGATTGAAAAATATTTTCTCTCAGAATTCTGAAGCTATTGCTCTAGCTCTCAAGGTTGCTTGTATAGTGTTTTTCCATTCTTAGTACCCATGTTTTTGTATTTAAATTGTTTTTTTATTTTGCAAACTTTAAGAATCTGCTCTTTGTTTTTAACATTCTGAAAGTTCATAGTGGTATATTTTGGGGTGTTTTGTCATTCATTGTGCTGAGCACTCTGTAAACCAGTGGTTCTGAACCTTCCTAGTGCCACGACCCTTTAATACAGTTCTTCATGTTGTGGTGACCCATAACCATAAAATTATTTTTGTTGCTACTTAATAATTGTAGTTTTGTTTTCCAATGGTCTTAGGTAACCCCTGTGAAATGGTTGTTCAACCCCCAAAGGGGTCGTGACCCACAGGTTGAGAACCGCTGCCTGAGTGTAAACTGTCTTAATCTGCAACCATGTGTCCTTCAGTTCTGGAAATTTTCTTGTATTTTTTTTCTGATAATTTTTTCTCCTTTACTTCCTCTGTTTCTTTTTTTGGAATTTCTGTTAATTACCTACTAGAACTCCTGGATTGGCTCTCTGATATTATCTTTCTTTCCTTGTTCATTTTCTGTTTTTGTTTCATGTTATCTTTTAACACTTTTATTGATTTAATAGTTTTTTTTTCACTACCATATATTTAATTTTCAACCACTGTTTTTATCCTTGGGTAGTTTTTTTCTTTCTTTTCATTTTTTCTTAAGGCTTTCTGTTCTTGTTTCCCAGAAATTCATCTTCTCTGTCACTCTGAGAAAATATTACTCAGTTTTATTTTATTTGCTCCCTGAATATTCTTTTAGTTTCTTTTTTCTGTGTGTCTTTCATGGTAACTACTCTTCTCAAATGTCGGCTTTCTTGGCTGTCATTCACTTTTATGAGTGAGGCACTAAAACACTGAATGGAAATGGACATGAGTAGCTGACAGACCTCAGTTTCTTAAATGAGCTGGAAACCAGCTTTTTGATTGAGAAACCACCCAATATTTCTATTAGTAATGTTTTTCTCCAGAGACTTGGTTTTTCCAGAGACGCCTTTCAGTCTCAATCTCCTTCCCAAGGATAGAGACCTAGACAAGGAAAGGAGCTAAGGAATCTTAGCCATGGAATATGAAGACTTTCCCTTGGTGCCTGATTTTCAGTCATTCCCATCTGTCTGCACCCAGTATCCCCTAATCCAGAGTCTCTCTACTTCCATATTTTGGGTAGTAAACTCTCATCTCTCATGGGGTAAGGGCCTGGGGCCTGTTTTTTAAGCAGACTTTCCACTGGATTTCTCTGTCTCTAACATAACCATCTCTAGCATCTGTAAAACATGGTGATCTAGTTTCTGAGCTTTAACATTGGTCCTCATTTCCATAGCCATCTTCTTAGGTATCTTATTCCCCACCTGTCACCTGTTCACTTTCTACCTAACTTAGGGTTAGGATTATTGATGGTGCATAGTTTTGTCAAGTTGGAGTTTACATTTGTTTCTTACCCTCTATGTTTTGGAATGATTTCTGAAAAGAGAAACCAGGATTTGGGGGTATGGAGTAGAATCTAGGTCCCTGTGAAGCTATCCTAGAACCGGAAGTCAGATGGCACACTTTCCATCGCTGGCTTTCCCAGGTTGCTCTCTGGTATTCAATGGCAGTCTGCTTTGTGTTACAGTTAGTTGGAACAGTGCTGTGCTCCCCACTGAGTTGTAAGGTCTCTGAGGGGAATTAGTGAATCGTAGTCATGATTACTAAAGGTATAAACTTGTTTCCACATAGCAGTTTGACTAACATCCATGACTCTCTCTTCCTGCCTTACCTGCCAATTGTTCTACAGCAAACCGTGGATTCTCAATTGGAATTGGTGATGTCACACCTGGTCAAGGGCTGCTAAAGGCCAAGTATGAGTTGCTGAATGCTGGCTACAAGAAATGTGATGAGTACATTGAAGCCCTGAACACGGGCAAGCTGCAGCAGCAGCCTGGTTGCACTGCTGAGGAGACTCTGGAGGTGAGTCTGGCTCTTCGGGTGGGTCAGTTCAGCCACTTGGTGCTCATGGGGCTGTGCTGTGCGCCATGAAGAGAAGGCAGGAGAAGGAGGTGGGAAGGAGAGGCGGTGGCTGCAGCCTCATCCTGGCCCTGCTACTTGTGTGTGTTCTCGTTTGTTTAATGAGGGGAGGGCCTTCGATCAGGTCCCTTACGTCACTGTCAGCTGTCACATTCTAGGTGATAATGACACAGCTCTATCTGTTCTTTGGCCACACAGGGCTGCTCTTGTTCTGACATCACGCTCGGGCCCCTTCTGGAGCTGGTACTTAAGTGATTCTGCCATTGCTATTTTCTGCATCCTAGCGGCTGGCATCGCAGCTATTTAAATGGATGGTCTTTAAAAGAGACTTGGATACAAATGATGGAAAATTCATGCCGAGAGTCATATACCAAATTGCTCCCCCCTCACATTTGAAACTAAGTTAGCCGAGAACAGGACCCGCACATGTCAGAATCAGAATTGGCACCATCCTTCGAGAGCCCTGCATGTTCTCTCAAGCAGCGCAGGTCAGCAGTCTGACGACACCAGGGTGTTGCCTGGCTCTCTTCCACCTCCCCAGAAGCCTGGGGTTCAGAGCTCAACTCACCTAAGTATAGAAGAAAGGCTCCTTAAGCAGTAAGGTTTCGGAAGAGGTGAATTTCTTTAAGCAGCTGTGTGAGGTATTCACCCTTGCTAGCTCAGTCTTACTCTCACTTAAGTCTTAGAGGGGGGGAGAGAAATGGATGTTTCTCACTTAGAAAATTACTTGAGGCCTTGGCAGCACTTTTCTTTTAACTTTTATTTGCATTTATTTTATGCTGAATTTATAAGTTTTTGTTTCTTCAGTTTCCTCTGGGATATCTTTTCCTTCTGTGCAGCCTCCTCCCCTGGTTTAGGAACAGTCTGCTCTTTCCCAGGAGGGACCTCTCTGCACGCAGCGAGAGAGCTCACGTGCGGTTAACCGCCTCGAGCTGTCCGTTCTGCCGCATCTGGGAGCTTTGTTCACCTGATGTGCTCAGTGCCCGGAGAACCTGCACCTAAACCCTTCAGCTCAGCCTCACTGCACGTTTAAGCATGTGCAGCAAAAACCCAGCACTCTTTTTGGGCCACCGACCCTGTGTCCAGCCCCACTGTTGGGCCTGGCCCACCTACCCACTTCCCATTGTAAGGACGGAGTGGCGCGCATTGCTTCTGGGAAGTGATGTCCTCAGATACTTGGTAGCTTTCGAATATGCATACCCTGATGGCCTGGGCAGTTCCACTAGTGTTCTTAAAGTGAACCTCTGGATTTGCATGATTTTGTGGAAAACTAAATAGAAGTATTATCTTCCACTGTACACATTGTTTATTCAGGCATGTGTATGCACAGTGAGAAAGATGCAGACATTCTGCTGTATAGGTTCCTATACGCACAGTTATGTGATTCTCCTTTACCGCCATTGGAAGGATTGCTCGTGGTTTCATTCCTAATCATATTTGCCTCACACAGATTCGGGGCCTTGTGGCAGATGTTGGTCTATATATAGAGGGCATCCTGGTCTTCCGAGGCTCTAAAACCTCTCCCTTTGGGAAACCTGACATCTTGTTTAAATTCTCTCAAATTTCCTTAAATGTCAAATTGTACATTTGTGATCAGCAGAGCCTGTGAGGGTGACTCCCTCGACGCCTCCCTTTCTCTCACCAGGCTCTGATCCTGAAGGAGCTGTCGGTGATCCGGGACCATGCGGGCAGTGCCTGCCTCCGGGAGCTGGACAAGAGCAACAGCCCCCTCACCATGGCTCTGTGCGGCTCCAAAGGTGAGTGCGCTCTGCCGCTGCTGTCCTCTTGTCCTCCGGGGAGATGGGCTGCTTTTGTTCTGGAAAATGTAAGAATCATAACTTCAAACAGACCTTTTGTTTTAAAGGTATATCTTTTTAAGTCATTTACAGTTGACCCTTTACCAGCATGGGTTTGAATTGCACGGGTTCACTCATAAGCTGTTTTGTTGTTGTTTCTTAAATCAACTGTATTTTCAATCCGCAGTTGGGAATCCACGTATGTGGAAGGCTGACTTAAGTTACATGTGGATTTTTTACTGTGCAGGCAGCCGGTGCCCCTTACTGTCACATTGATCAGTGGTCGCACATAGAAAAGATTTATTTGCAGTTTGGGGAATTTAATATTCTAGAGCAGCGGTTCTCAACCTGTGGGTCATGATCCCTTTCGGGGGTCAGACGACCCTTTCACAGGGGTTGCCTAAGACATACAGTTGTGAAGTAGCAACAAAAATAATTTTATGGTTGGGGGTCACCACAACACGAGGAACTGTATTAAAGGGTCACGGCATTAGGAAGGTTGAGAACCACTGTTCTAGAGGAACTTGTTGGTAATGTGTGTGTGTTTCTGAGTTTGAAGGTGTTTTGAGCAACTTTACTTAAAAGCTAGGGATTTAAAAAGTAAAATGCAGTATTTAGTGATGAAGCAAAGTGCTCTAATTTCACACTTCCCCAGGACCTTAAAGCATTAGGATTCTTGATACTGTGCTCAAATTCAAAACCTCCATGCTTCTATTTCTGAAAAATGTTTACATATAAAGTTGAGACTCCGACTTTGCTGCCTTTCACCTCGATGGTCCACTCTTTGCTCCTGGCACATACCCTGCACTTTCCATTCCTGTGTCTTTGCTTCTCATTCTTACACCCACTTTGGAATTCCTCCCCCCACCCCTTTTTATGTCTGAATCAGGGTGGGGAACCTTTTCTCTGCCAAGGGCCATTAGGATATTTATAACATCATTCATAGGCCATACAAAATTATCAACTTAAAAATTAGCCTGCTATGTTTGGTCAAGCTAATTTTGTGAGGCGTGTGATGTTAGCTGGTATTGATTTTGTGGGCCTTAGGTGGCCCGCGGGCCAGACATTCCTCATCCCTGTCTAAATCATAATGTCCTCCAAAAGTCTATCCTGGTTGCTTTTTTTAAAAAAATATATTTATATTTATTTTGTTGTTGTTATTAGAGAGCAAAGGAGAGATAGAAACATCAATATGAGAGAAATACATCAATTGGCTGCCTCCTGCACGCCCCCTACTGGGGATTGAGCCTGCAACCCAGGCATGTTAGCTGACCGGCAATAGAACCGGGACCTCTCAGTCCACTTAGCCACAGCAGCCAGGCTAACCTGGTTGCTTCTTGAAGATGCACCTGGCAGTCTTGCCTCCAGCCCTGAAGTGTTCATTTTCTGCCAAACACCTCACTGGGCCTTTCCTGTGTTACTAATAGCCCTACCCTAGACTGTGAACTTACTGAGGATAAGGAGCTATGCTGCATTGTGGTCCTGTTTTACTTCACCGACTTGCTTGCACTTCACTTAATGTTATTTCAGTAAATGAATGTTACATTTGACCTGCTTCCCTAGGTTCCTTCATTAATATATCACAGATGATTGCCTGTGTGGGACAGCAAGCCATCAGTGGCTCCCGAGTGCCAGATGGCTTTGAGAACAGGTCCTTGCCTCACTTTGAAAAACACTCAAAGGTAAGCAGTGGTGGACCAGGTAAAACATTGAAGGATGACCATCAGCAGTGCAGAAGAGAGTAAGTGAAGCTCTGTGGCTCTAAGCAAGTCCTGGAGGTGTCATGTAAGGGCAGGCGCTGCTCAGGGTTGTTATTCCCACTTCAACCCAAACTGAGTCGCCTAGAAGGAGCCTTGTTAAACTTAGAGCTATAAAACTTGAACAATGCCCCCTTGTATATTTTCTCTCCGAGGAGGAAGATTTCAGGTTCCCATCCAACTTAAGTAATCAAAATGAATACTTACCTCATGTATACATTCAATCTGTGTGCTTGTTTGGGGGCCACTTACATAAAAGTAGAAGGATTTTAAAATAGTGGCAGTATAAACCACATTAAATCTACCAGGGAATTTCAGGTTCTCCTCTGGAATTCTCACATTCAGCTTTTAAATGACTTCTGACTTCTATTAGCCTTTGTGGTTTGGGCACTAGTATAAGCAGAGAGAGACAAGCCTATGCTGAGGTTGTTCTGGGATTCAGGGACAGGCAACCATTAAATCTGTAGTTAAGGAACTCAAAGTAGATTTGGTCACTCAGTAAATTCTGGATTTGGAGCCCCAGCTGCCCCTGCCCCATGGAACTGCAGTTTTTTTGTTCATCCCTCCTGAGGAAATAGGGCTGCTGTACCGAGATATGTCGATAGTCTCTGTATCCGGTAGCCCCAGGAACCATTCAGGTCCTCTGCCTAAGATCAGAATTCACTAGAGGTCAAGCAGATAAGTGATCGCTGGAATGGTACCTGTCTGCTTGTCAGGCTCAGACTTGTAAGGCAGCCTGACTAATTTAGAGGAGAGGCATCTAGATTTCCCGGTCCCTGGACCAGTGCTAGATTAGACTTCGGGATATCTGTGCTTGCTTAGAAATATCTGTGAGTGCACCAGCTGCCCCTTGAACAAAATAAGGAAACAGGGTGGTCCGTTCATCTAGATTGTCCTCTAAGGAACATAGGCCTATCCGGATCAAAGGCCATTTGGCCATTTCACATGGTGTTTTACATATGCATGTATTTTGTACAGTATCATTGAAATTCATTGTATATGTCATAGTCACCCATTCAAAGTGTACAGTTCCATGACTTAGTAAATTCACATAGCTGTGTGATCATCACCATAATCTAATTTTAGACATTTTCAGCATCCGAAATGGAACCCCATAAACATTAGCAACACGTGGTTGTGTTTTGGAGGTGGGCACGCCTGGCCCACAGGAAGGATGTCTTTAAGGGAGACATTGTTTCCCAGGGAATGGGCCGGCTGCTACAGTCAGTGAATGCCCTCTGAGGTCCTTGACTGCCTGCCTGCTCTGGATAGCAGCCCGGGCTTTGGTTTCTCCCCCCTGAGCTACTTGCCTGCCACTGGCACCAGCACCAGCCCTGGCTGGGACCTCGCCCTCCTTGTCTCTGGTAAGGGTGGGTTGTGCCAAATCATTTCTCCTTTAGGACAGGGTATGTATAGCCTGCCACTTCATGAGAGTACAGTGGCCAGATAGTTATAGCTTGAAGGTGTGGCATTTTCTGATTTGAATGGGTTTTGGAATGGTGGACCTTGAACTTTTTTTGTTTGTTTGATTTTTCTTTTTGTTCTACCTCTCTTTAGCTCCCAGCTGCCAAAGGCTTTGTGGCTAATAGCTTTTATTCTGGTCTGACACCAACTGAGTTTTTCTTCCACACAATGGCTGGCCGGGAAGGTCTAGTCGACACAGCTGTAAAGACAGCTGAAACAGGATACATGCAGGTAATTTGAAGAAATGTAGGCCATTAACAACCGAGTAGGACAGGGCTCTGTGGATTTTGACTGCTGAATGTTTATATATTTTGTACATGAGCTAACATTTATTCAGTCTTGGTATTTATAAGGAAAAATTAAGAAACATAACTGCCCTAGAAATAAACACAAAAAAGGTTAATATTGATGTTCTATGTACCACAAATGATCAAGACAAGGCCAGAGCCACACATACCAGGGCTCTGTTGGAGGAGAATGTGGATGGAGGTGCGTCCCGGGACATACCATTGGATTTCACTGAGCTCTGGTTCCTAATGCATGCAAATGGGCGTGGTGACACATACCTCCTGTTGATCTAGAGGACTCTGCTGCTCACTTTGCAACTCTTTATGTAACTCATTATTAGTATCATTCTAATTGACTCCAAGAACCTATTTTGGCACCTGCAGGAGAGCTCGGCTCTCCACTGTGTACAGTCTAGGATAATAGGCTCAGGGGGACAGGGTTCAGCTAGGTTTCCTGTGCCTGTGCTTCTCAGACTGCCACAAAGGCACCCCTACTGGAAAAGGAGTGGAGACACATTCCTACTTTGTTCTTCCATAAGACCACAAGCAAAGGATTTTTCTTTTCAGTCTAATTTTTATTTTTACTCTGTGTACTCCATAATACATGTTTGTTTAACTTTAATGTTTTTACCTACTTATAACACCAAGTAGAGTTAACACTTCAAGTTGGTGGGCCATGATCCCGCTGTAGCTTTGTGTCCCTTCTCTCCCCACTGTGGATCCCAATTTGAGAAGCATGGCCCTTTGCAAACTGGGAAACGAGGATTGATAATTCAGAGATGTGAATGATGAGCCAGAACAAACAAGGTTGATGAGGGTGAAAATGAACTCAAGTCAGTATGTAGACACCTATTTCTGTAACCTCTCTGTGCCTCATGTGTCATAACTGATGTTTCCCTTTTAATCATCTCTTGATGGAAAATTGCCCTTCTGTTATGAAGTGTGTTGCTTTTGTCAAAAACCCAACACACTGTGAAATGCTTTTAGCATTCTTACTAGAATGTCTTTTGACTTCACTTTTTGTCTTTACCTTTTGGAGTAGAGTATGACTTTCCCGGAGCAGTGTGTTAACCTAGAACAAATTAGTTCTGGCATGAGGGATTTTTGAAGTTGCCTGGAGGAAGATTTCTTTCTCCTTAACTCACTGAGCCTCTGTCACATTGCTGCTGCAGTGTGTTCTGCTGGTGTGAGGTGTTTTCCTAAGCAGTTTGAGAACAGGCTGCTGCCTGCTGATTCAGACACAATGCTGCCCCTGTTCTCCCTTCTTTCCCCCTGTCCCAGAGGAGGGTCTGCACCTGATCCTCTGTAATTCATATTGAAGTCCACAGGGGTCCTAGATTAAGTTGTGTTTAGAAATGCAAAGCGATTGCATTAATTTATACCTTAGGGAAAAAGAGAGGGAAGGCAAAGCAGGCTAGGAAAACAGTGTTTGCGTATTCCTTTGGGGTTGATGGGGTTTAGATTGCATGTATTGTGTAAAACACACTCAAGTGCTGGAGGGTGGAGCATATTCTAAATTCCACTGGCCCGGCTAGTGAGGCACTCTGGCCTTGTTGTTCTTGGGGTCAGAGGAATCTTTTTAAGGGATTCCTAATAAAATGTTTTTATGTGGTTAAAGGGCTGGTAACCTTGGAACTTAGAGTCGGAAATCTCATTCTCTGCACATGTGACTAGTCTTCCCAAAGCCCTGAGCTTTGTTTCCCGTTTCTTTCCCTTCAGAGAAGGCTTGTGAAGTCTCTGGAAGATCTGTGTTCACAGTATGATTTGACCGTCCGAAGCTCTACAGGAGACATTATACAGTTCATTTATGGAGGAGATGGCTTAGATCCTGCAGCTATGGAGGGAAAAGATGAACCCTTGGAGTTTAAAAGGGTTCTGGACAACATCAAAGTAAGATTTAGTATTGTATCTGGGGTTGGACTGTTTTTGAGGACATTTCTTTAGAATGGAGGTACCCTTTGAAAAATCACACACAGCCCTGGCCGGTTTGGCTCAGTGGTTGGAGTGTTGGCACTTGGACCAGAGTCTCGGGTTCAATTCTGATCAAGGGCACATACCTCAGGTGCGATTAGGTCCCTGGCCAGGGTCGTGCAGGAGGCAGCCAATTGATGCATCTCTCTTACATCAGTGTTTCTCTCTCTCTCTCTCTTTCCCCTCCATCCTCCCCCCCCCCCCTCTCCCTACCACTCTATCTGAAGATAAATGGGGAAATGTCCTTAGGTGAGGATACATAAATAAAATAAAGGAAAATCACACACAGTTAATGCTCAATTGTATTTTCCCAACTACTGGCTTAGTATTTGTGTGTGTGTGTGTGTGTGTGTGTGTGTGTGTGACTCTGCATAATTTTTCCGAATATTAAAGGAGAAATATTTTCTCATTTTCAAAGTCTAGTATTAGTAGTAATCAAATGCCAATACAAGAAGGCTTTGGTTTCTGTGTAATAGAGGCCATTGTTATAAGTTGGTGTTGAAAAGCAGGCATATTTCACATATTTTAGCAGGAGGTATAATTTAGAGCAACTTTTTTGGAAGGTAGTTTGAATTTAATGTGGTGGGTGTCTTTGGACCCCATAGTTCCATTTCCAGAAATCTACCCTATAGAAATTATCTAAACATGCAAAGAGTGTTTTCCCAGCATTGTTTGTGATAGAGACGGACCATCAATGGAGGACAGCTCAGGTACATGGTAATCCGCCTGTGCATTAGGGTGATATGTGGCTGTTAAAACTTTGGGGAAATCCCATGAGCTTAAAATATTTGGGATTTTTGAAAACAACAATTTGTATTTTTTTTAATATGTTTTTTATTGATTTTTTAGAGAGAGGGGAAGGGAGAGAGAGATAGAAACATAGATGTGAGAGAGAACCATCAATTGGCTGTCTCCTGTGCACACCCCCTACTGGGGATTGAGCCTGTAACCTGGGCATGTGCCCTGACCGGGAACCAAACCGGGACCTCTCAGTCCATGGGACGATGCTCAATCCACTGAGCCATACTGGGCAGGCAACAGTTTGTATTTTAAATGCAAACCTAGGTTGGAGCGAAGTTTGAGGAGTAATGGGACAATACCCACTGACTAGCCCAGAAGTCTTTGTATAAGGTGGAGTTTCAGTTTACCCTGTTTTCACCTTCATATTAAAGGTAGAGTCTAAAATTTGTTTTGAAGGGAAAAAAACATCACAGATTGCCAGAAGATTCCTCTAAGTGAAGTTGTCCTGTCTCTTGTACACTCTTTCATTCAATGTTGCCCCCTTCTCTGTTGCCCCGCTCATAACACCGTTTCCTTTAATACTCGAGGCAGTCTTCCCGTGTCAGAGCGAGCCTGCTCTCAGCAGAAACGAGCTGGTCCTGACCACCGAGTCCGTCATGAAGAAGAATGAGTTCCTCTGCTGCCGGGACAGCTTCCTGCAGGTAAGCTCCATGCCGAGCACACCGGCCTGGCTGTCCCAGGAAAATCGTCCGCCAAGTTCTGGCAGGTGAATTTCCTGGGCTGGGAGGGTTTTATGTACGAGTGTTTCTTCGTTAAAAAATTCAAGAATGGCCTAGGCCAAATCTCAACAACCAACGGGAAGAATTTGTCTCATGTCTTTCTTAGTTTATGGCTCTCACACAAGTGTTTTCCTATTAGAAGAAAAATGCTAGAGAACTGGGTTTTTTTTAACCCTACCCCTGTCCACACCCTACAGTCACTTTCCTATGCTGTGGAACAGCTCTTTAGTCATTCTGAATCCCAATCACTTTTATTGGTAGTGGTGTTGTTTCAGTACCTTTTTTGTTATCTTCCCATTGATTTTTTAGATAGAGTGGAAGGGAGGGAGGGGGAGAGAGAGAGAGAAACATCTGTGTGAGAGAGACACATCGAATGGCCTCTTCCCACACAACCCCAACCAGGGCTGGGAATCGAACCTGAAACCCAAGAATGTGCCCTTGACTGGAATCAAACTCAAGACCCTTCAGTCCACAGGTCAATGCTCTAACCACTGAGAAAACCAGCCAGGGCAGTGCCTTTTATTTTAAATTGCTCTTTCTCTTCCTATGGAGTCTGCCTTCCTTACTCTTTTTTTTTTTTTAATCCTCACCCGAGGACATTTTTTGCATTTATCTTCAGATAGAGCAGGAGGGAGAGAGGGGAAGAGAGAGAGAGAAACATCGATGTGAGAGAGACACACCAACTGGTTGCCACCCACACAACCCCAGCCAGGGCCAGGGACAAACTGCAACCGAGGTACATGCCCTTAGCGGTAACCGAACTAGGGACTCTCTGGTCCACGGGCTGACGCTCTAACCTCTGAGCCAAACTGGCCAGGGCTGCCTTCCTTATTCTTCAGGGGAACAGTTACCTTGATATCCTCTTAGGGTTTTTTTGTTTGTTTTTGTTTTTTTAATGTCACTGACCTGCATAAACAGCTCTTCCCTATTTGTTATGGTGGTTATGATCAAAAGCAAAGGGATACGGCAATTAGTACCTTGTTTCCTTTGTGTACTGATCAGTGAGTCCAATGTAGCAAAAAAATCAGTAGGAATGTGTCCCTTTCAGTACATCAAAAATAAAGCTGCAAGTGAAATGTCAAGAATGCTTTTAGTTAAGGGAGCTCTTCACTTCTTCCTTTCATATGTTGAGGACTGAAAGGTGGAAAAGAGAATCTTTTTAATATTCTTAAAATCAAGAGTATGGCCAGGTTCAGTGCCTTTGTTTTGATTTTTTTTCCAATGATTTTCCCCCCCCCACTAACAAATTAGAATTGTGATTTTGTTTTTCTACATAATTATATTTACTTATTTATTTCTCTGTTTATCCTTGAAGACCTTAACTGAGACAGGCTATGAGAAATATAACGAGGTAATGCACTTGGCATGCGGTGACCGCTGAGCACAAGGAGTGAACTAAAGCAGCACTCAGCTGCTGGCCAGCCCTGGAGACAGCAGGTGTCCATCCCAGTGCTGGCCAGCATGCCCCCCTGTTCATCACTGTGGACGGCTCTCTTGCTTGCCTGTGATGGGTTAACGGTGACCTTCTGACCAGCAGTGTTTGTTTAGGTGGCGAGCACTCATTCAGCCGTCACTGTCACACACTGCAGATCCTGCGGACACAAAGATGACTGAACATGTCCTTGCCCTTCAGTAGCTCACAATCTGATGAATTCAGTTTTGCCAAGAGGGTGCAAAACCCACTGGCCAGAGCAGAGGCAGTGGATGGAGGCAGCTCCCGACCCTGCCAGCGGCCGATGCCCGTGCTCACAGGCTGCTACGGCACGAGTGTGAGAATTTACCTGCTGGTCAATCGTGTGATTAATTGCCTGTCATTTGCTATGTTGTGAGTTCCCTGTAGTGTGCATGGGTTGATTCAGCTGAATTCTTAGTAGCTTATTTCGGTTTTCATTTCTCAAAAAATGAGCTTTTTTTTTTAAACTCCAGAATATCTAACTTTTGTGTAAGGAATGCCATTTCTTTCAGCAGAGCCACTGGAAGCGGGTCCCTGTGGGTGGCAGCTGAAAGGTCTCATTTCCAGCGCCCAGTCTGGGGAATGGTTCAGGCGTGTCCTCTCTACTGTGTGTGCCGAGTCCCTCACAGATGAAAGTCCCCGGTCTGCTCGGTCGTAGGCTCTGGTTCCGGTTTCCCTGCTCCAACAGGTGGGGCAGCCTGGCGATCAAATGGCAGCGTCTGAGCCCAGAGGGCTTTCAGAAGCTCACCCTGCAGGATACAGCGGTGGCTGGAGAAGTGGCTGGGGGAGGAAGTCAGCAATGTGAGAGCCTCTGTACACGGTCAACATAGAAAAGTGAAGTGGCAGAGAGTGTCACTGCCTTGGAGTAGCCCCACTGTCAGGCAGAGTCGTGCCCGGAGAGTGCTCCCCCGCCTCCTGCTCTAGTTTCTGCTCTGGTTTGCAGTCACGGGCTGTATGTGAAAATGCAGTCTCAAACTCATAATTAGGAAGTACGCCTGGATAGTTTCTTTAAAAAGAGTCTAAAGTTTTCAAGTTCTTGCAAATAAGTAAAAGTCCTTTCTATGTATAGTGATGGCTGAATGGCACAGTAACCCTCCGTGTATCTCCACACTTTCTCAATGAGAAGAAGGCAAATTGACCACAAAAATGCCATGTTCATGAACGAGGGATAGCCAAGGTGTGATGGACCCCTCCAGGTAGCCCCTTGGTCACCTGGCTTAAGGATAGAGACTAAAATTTGCAGTGGGCAAAGACAGTGCAGAAAGCCCTGCCCCAAGAGCAGACTTTGGAGAAATCGTCTGACTTCATGGAGAGCCTTGGCCAGGTGCCTGGCCTCCTTCAGCCCTCTGCTCTGGGGTGATGGGGTTAATGCTGTGCTACCTCCTAGGGAGGTCTCACTGAGCCATGGACTGTTTCACTTCAGAAAAGGTAGTGACAGAAATTGCTAGGTAGTCTGGGAGGCTTAGGAGATTTCATTTTGCAGGGTTAGCATAGCACTGGGTTAGTAAGTGTTAAGCTCTCTCTAGGTACCATATAGGGTTTGTTTTTGCAAAAAGTGGACTTCTGGTTCAGTCTGCTTTTTAAAACATTTGACATTTGTTTCAGACAAAACTGGAGGCGCTTTCAGCTGTGTGATATTAAACCAGGAGACTTGGGGCAGGGCGTGCTGGTCTTCTCCTTGGGGGCCCCCCCGCCAACCTCAGAATCCAGAAACCTCGTGAGGCTGTTAGCCACCACAATCAGCAGTCCACCCTTAGGCCAGCTCACTGGTCTGTTCATGCAGCTGGACGTCTACAGGTGGCCAGAGTGCCATTCACATTCACTGTCACCACCAGTTTCCCAGAGTCATCGAGGACAACTGCCTCCCAGAGGGCTGCTGAGGGGAAGTGCGGTCTGTCCACTCTCCTCGTATTCTCCAAAGGCCCCTGGATCAGAATAGCAGCCGCTTGCTGGTCCCAGGACTGTGTTCCAGTGACCCCTGATGGTGTGTGCATGGTGTGTGCATGGTGTGTGCTGTGAGCACACGTGAGAAGTGCTCTGAGGCACTCCTGTCGTGCTTGGGTATGACCCCTGGGAGTGGGACTCTGCCGAGTGGCTCGTGACAGCACAGCACATGCCTGTAAGCACTCCCTGAGGGGAGGTGCTGGCTGACCTGGTTCTAGGAGTGAGCACGGGGCCGGTTCAGTTCACAGACACGTCAGTTGTAGAACGGGTGGGCTTTGTCCCCGTGGGGTGGTCACCAGAAGACTTTGCGTCGGGTCCATAGTCGTTACCCTGCCCTGGGTACCGTCCACATGATGGACTTCTCGTCTCCTCGCTCCGTTTGTCGCCATCCTGCGCTTGGAGTGCTGTTCTTTCCATCCTTTTTCTTTGTGTGTGTGTGTGTTTGCTTTTTACCTTTGCAGGGACAGCAAATATATTGCTGTTTCATTTCTAGCTTTAAGAGTGGTTTCCAAGAATCTTCCAGATTTCTAATTGTTGGGCAGGGAGTGTGGACAGGGAGTGATGCAGAGGTGAGGGGGAACTGCGTGTGGGAGCGTTTCCTTTAGAGGAAGGCAAGCTCAAAGCATGTGTTTGAAATGTATGTGATGTCTGTGAAGCTTTAGCTCGTAAGTATCTAACTAGATCATAACAATTTAAGAAGAGATTCTAAAATTAATCAATCTAGAGACTAAAAGCGTAGCTGGTGCACTTGTGCCTGCACCGGGCGGTGTGAGTGCAGGCAGTGTGATAGCCAGAGAGCAAGAAGGCAGCAGGTTCGAAGGCATTTCCGGGTGTCGCTCCCGTGTGCGACAGGGCAGGCCCGGGAGTGGCTGGTGCGTGCCTTTGCTGAAGCGTCATTGGAGGAAAATGCCTTAGGAAACCTCCAGGGTGTGGACGATCTGGTGTATCTCTTGGAAAAACATTTTGCAATAGAAACTTTATTCATATTGTATCCCTTATATATTTAGCAATCACTAAAATATGATGGACTCATCACACATCATGTTATCCACTTTACTGAGAAATATACAACTGAGGTATACTGTGTAATCTTTCAGGAAATACAAAAATTCATTAAGGGGGTTTCTGAGAAGATCAAGAAAACCCGAGATAAATATGGCATCAATGATAACGGCACAACAGAGGTAAGTGGCCTTCCCCGGAGGGTGGGAAAGACACTGAGGGATTTTCAGGCGCTGCCAGTCCTCACTCTGCACTTGGTTTGTTCTCCAGCCCCGTGTGCTCTACCAGTTGGACCGGATCACCCCCACCCAAATAGAAAAGTTTCTGGAGACCTGTAGGGACAAGTACATGAGGTAGGGATGCTCATGGTCTTAACTGCTGGGCAGTCTCATGGGCCTTGTATCCTTCCTGTTTCCCCATGGAAACAATTCTGCACCAGCACCACTTACTGCCAGTATTTGAGCAGGTTTGTCACCTCTTACCTGGGGATTCCAGTGGGTAGATACACTGGATGATCCAAGATGTGGAAATAATGTAAAGACATTTCCAAGTGTTTTCTCCCCACAGCGAAACTGCCAATGTATTTGACAAGTGCCACCTGCTGTCTTAACCTTCAGTACCACTTGTTAGCAGGCTCTTAGATCTTCTTCAGGCAAAACACATTTGGGCCCAGTCATTGCACTGACCACAGTAGCCACACAGCATTCACTTTTCTTGTTGGACCCTCTGAGCATTGTGTCTCTGCCTGCACCTGTCACTGATCTGTGCCGGGTTCTTCCTCTGTCACAGCACAGAGTGGCTCATTGCCAATTCCTTCCAGACTCTAAAGGCATCTGCATTTTCTCTGTTGAAAGGAGATAACCAGAAACCTCCTGCAGTAGTTTTGTTGGGCTTTTCACCTATATCTTTCTTTTCTAGGGCACAGATGGAGCCAGGTTCTGCAGTGGGCGCACTCTGTGCCCAGAGCATTGGCGAGCCAGGCACTCAGATGACCCTGAAGACTTTCCACTTTGCAGGCGTGGCCTCCATGAACATCACCTTGGGTGTGCCCCGGATCAAAGAGATCATCAACGCTTCCAGGGCCATCAGGTGCCCGCCTCCGTTTCCCTTCTGCTCCCATAATGCCTGTCATGTTTTTCAGAAACAATGATTTTCTTGTCAGATGTGCTATTAAAATGAGCACTATCTCAAACTTCAGTGGCGTACTCTGCCAGTCATACTTTTGTCTTTAAAAAAAACCGCTTGAGAAAAAAAAGTTGAAACTAGATACAGTCAAAATTGAAAAATGGTTCTTTTTGGCCACAGGTCCATGAAAGAGAAGAACATTGAAAAACTACTGGAAAAATGTTAGCAGTGTATCAGTGTAGATTTGAAACTTTTGATGTCATATTCCCAGCCTGACCAGACTGACTGATGTGTCCATACTTGGTCATGTTCTGTGGCTCCCACATGATTTTATGACAGGAGTTGTAGGTGATCTGAGTCTAGAAAAGATGGAATATGTCACAGTGCCTTTGGTGACAAGGTGATGGCTCCGCTGTGACCTGAATCTAAAGCACTGGCAGTGCTGAGCGAGGAAAGCTGCCGAGGCCCCAGAGCAGCAGCTGTGGCCTGAATCTAAAGCACTGGCAGTGCTGAGCGAGGAAAGCTGACATGGCCCCAGAGCAGCAGCTGTGGCCTGAATCTAAAGCACTGGCAGTGCTGAGCGAAGGAAAGCTGCCGAGGCCCCAGAGCAGCAGCTGTGGCCGTTCGGGCGACGGGCTCTGCCTGCCTCCTCTGGGCTGGTCAGGTCTGCAGAAGTGCATGTCCAGGGGACACCACCCAGGACAGTGAGGATGGAAGCTGAGAGCTTGGGATCGGAGGACTGGAGGTGTCCTGGAGAGTAGGTAATAGGGGCAGGGGAAAGAGATGGAGGAAGCTGTAGTACACAAGGGGCCAATGTACTCAGGGAACAGGATTAAATTAACTACTTATTGGGACCAGAGAGGAAGAGGTAGGTTCACTGGGTCAGAAAGAATTTTCCGAGAGTCGTTCACTGGGAGAGTGGTTTGCCTCACGAGCCCCAGAAATGGTAACTGCAGGAGGATGCCTGCAGGAGCACGCTCGACGCACCGTGAGTGCTTCGGGGTTGCAGTGGCTTTCAGCATCCGATCCAGGTAGACTTGACCCAGCAGCCTCCTCGGGCAGCCTGCTCCTGGTGCCGGAACAGTTTTACCTTCGTCTCGCAGCACTCCGATCATCACGGCTCAGCTGGACAGGGATGATGATGCGGATTACGCTCGCCTTGTGAAAGGGAGAATTGAGAAAACCCTCTTGGGAGAGGTAAGGAGAAATCCCTCTTAATAATAAGAAAATTAGATCGGCAGTGTCTCGAGGAAGTATAGAAGCCAGTTGCAGTGGATATGCCAGTCAGTGTCCTTAAAAATTAGAGTGAGTAAGCTCTGGCTGGTAGGCCAGGTTGTGTGTTCGATCCCTGGTCTGGGCACATACAAGAAAAACCAATGTATGCATAAATAAGTGGAACCACAAAGTCGATGTTTCTCTCTCTTCCCCTGTCTCTCTAAAATCAGTGGGGAAAAAAGAATGAGCAGTGGATGATGTTGGAAAAGGGGAAAGTGACTAAGTTCTGATCTTCTGACATACAGATTTCAGAGTACATCGAAGAAGTATTTCTTCCTGATGACTGCTTTATTCTCGTCAAGCTGTCCCTGGAACGGATTAGACTTCTGAGGCTGGAAGTGAGTCACGTAATTAAATGTGTAGGGGAAGTCATCCTCCATCAGTCCCAAGCCAGGCGCTGATAAACTCTGGCAGGACCGCAGGGCGTCCGTCACACGCCCATGGCCCCAGCCCAGCAGCACCTGGCTGGCTGGGTGAAGGTTTCTGGATGGGCGAGTTGACCTTGCTTCTTATGCTGACATTTACGTGTAGGTAACAGCTGGAAGGTCGCCAGCCTTTCTCAGGACAGACTAAAGTGGGGGTGCAAGCTGAGTAACTTCCTGGCACCTTCCTCCTTCCCTCAGGTGGTTAGAATCCACACTAGTCTTCACACATTCCGTGCCCCGTTCTCTCAAGTACCGGGTTCGTGTGTTGTCTGTGTGAAGGATGACCCAGGCTGAGCAGCCAGTTCTCCAGGGTGGGGTTTGCCGGCTGGCTCCGGCACCTCCCTGTGCGGAGGAGTGGGGCCGCGCCGGGGTCAGCACGTGAGCAGCGGTGGTGAGATCTGTACAGGGCAGGAGTCACCGATGCTTCTCAATGGTCCCGGCTGCCCTGGCCGATTGGGCTCAGCGGTTGGAGCCTTAGCCTGCGGACCAGAGTCCCGGGTTTGGCTCCCACTAGGAGCACATACCAAAAGGGAAAAAAATTAAAGATAAAAAAAATAAATGGTCCTGGCCACCAACCATCCACCTCCCCGAACGCCCCTGGAGCCTGTCATGTTGCCATGAATTGAACATGCAATTTCAGGGAGAGGTATGAAAAAATTTTTTTATGATTTTTTATGACTAAAGCACAAATAAACATACAGTTTATAAACAAAGACACACTATATCTCTGGTATTAAAATTTCATGGTGAGGAGAGAGATTAGGGAAAAATGCCTGAAAGGGCTTCTTAGAGGGGCAGTGGTGGCAAAGGCTGAGAAACCCTGGAATCGAGGCTCCAGACCTGGCACGACCCGGGCACACCGCTCACACCTGCCACCTTGCAGGTGAACGCCGAGACAGTGAGGTATTCCATCTGCATGTCCAAGCTCCGCGTGAAGCCGGGTGACGTGGCTGTGCACGGCGAGGCTGTGGTGTGCGTCACCCCCCGAGAGAACAGCAAGAGCTCCATGTACTACGTGCTGCAGTTCCTGAAAGAGGATCTTCCCAAGGTGAGGCGACAGCCTCCTCAGGGCCCTCCCACCAAAAGCCAGGACATTTGTAAAGGGGAGACCACATTTACCTCTGATGTGACTCGGCTCCAGCACTCCCTAAGGGCTGCCACCACAGAGACTGAGCTGGCGCCCTTCTTCATATCCTCTTTGCCACACTCAAAGGAATCAATCGGTTTTTTCTTCTTAGCGCTGTCATGCCAACTCTGTTAGATTCCTCTCTATTCTTTCTTAAAACTGATGATGTAAAAGGACGAGGTTCGCTGAATGACTGCTTTCTCCCAGATCCCCAGAACGGGACAGGCATGCTTAGGTTGGGTAGGCTACTGATACTCACCACTGAGAAATGGGAATGAGCCCAGTAGAAAGCCCAGGGCTTGATGTTCCACATTCTCACTGCTGCCGTGGTTTCTGAGGCTACCACGTTGGTGGAGGCCATGGGCACTGCAGGGTCTCAAACCTTCGGTGTCTCTGAATGCAGGTGGTGGTGCAGGGCATCCCAGAGGTGTCCAGAGCTGTCATCCACATCGACGAGCAGAGTGGAAAGGAGAAGTACAAGCTCCTGGTGGAGGGGGATAACCTGCGGGCAGTCATGGCTACTCACGGTGTGAAGGGCACCCGAACCACCTCCAACAACACATATGAGGTACTGATCATACCCAGGGTCCCCTTACAGTCATCCTGTCTCCCTTGGAGCCCCCTCCAGGCCTGGAGCTGGTTCCTGGCACACTCCTCAGACTTGCTGTTTGCTCTGGGTCTATAACTAAAGATCTATTTCTGGAAAAGAGCGTGGGGCTTGCCATGAACCTCAGGACAGAGGACAGAGAGGTTGGGTAGCACCCCGGAAGTGACTGCTTCCACTCATCCTGGCTCTCTGTAGGTGGAGAAAACCCTTGGCATTGAAGCTGCCCGGACAACTATCATCAATGAGATCCAGTACACGATGATCAACCACGGCATGAGCATCGACAGGAGGCATGTGATGCTGCTGTCCGACCTGATGACCTACAAGGTGACCAGGGGCGGCCGAGTCTCAGGAGGATGAAGCTGTCGAGCTTCTGAGACATGTACAGTACATGGCTGTGATGCCACAGAGAGAAAATAAGATGTCACCTTCCCCCAAAAACCAGGGTGGTCAGGCTGGGGTTCTGGGAAAATCCCAGTATGCACATCGCAACTTCATAGCATGAGATGGAGAATGGATTCTTATTAGAAATTTTATCCTAAAGCAAAGCTAGCCATTGCCAAAAGCTCAGGGATTTCCTGGTAAACAGGTGTTTATTCCCTACTAAACCCATCTGTCACACTTCTTCTGTAGCCATTTCCAGGAAAAGAAATAAATTAACATGATCTAACTGAGTTAGGTTGGTTGGTTATATTCCCCCCCCCCCCAAAACTGTCTCCCCTCTAGCAGTGCCATAGGACAACAGGTTTTGTGACCCTTCCCATTCAAGCCTATACTGGACTGCGAGATGTTCAGAAACCAGTTGGGAGATACAGCACATTCCCACCACCTGAAGTGAAGGCTGTCCTTTTTTATTTACTTAATCCTCTCCTGAGGATATTTTTTCCATTGATTGGGGGGGGGGGGGCACGTTGATGTGAGAGACGCATCGAATGGTTGCCTCCTGCTACCTGGGCCAGGGAGTGAACCTGCAACTCAGATACGTGCTGTTGACCGGGAATCTGACGCATGACCCTTTGGTGCCTGGCTGGACTCTAACTATTGAGCCATACCAGCCAGGCCACGGCTGTCCTTTTTAAGTCTCCCCATTTGGTCTTACCCTGTGCATATATTGTGTTGCTGTAGTTTCAGTAAACAGTCTTACCCTGTGCATGTATTGTGTTGCTCTAGTTGCAGTAAACAGTCTTACCCTGTGCATGTATTGTGTTGCTGTAGTTGCAATAAACAGTCTTACCCTGTGCATGTATTGTGTTGCTCTAGTTGCAGTAAACAGTCTTACCCTGTGCATGTATTGTGTTGCTGTAGTTGCAGTAAACAGTCTTACCCTATGCATGTATTGTGTTGCTGTAGTTGCAGTAAACAGTCTTACCCTGTGCATGTATTGTGTTGCTGTAGTTGCAGTAAACAGTCTTACCCTGTGCATGTATTGTGTTGCTGTAGTTGCAGTAAACAGTCTTATCCTGTGCGTATATTGTGTTACTATAGTTGCAGTAAACTATACTGGGCATGCCGTTTTTATGCTGACTTTTTAAAATTTTAACACATTTTCCATGTTGTTACGTAGTGTTTAAGTATACTTTTAAAATAATCCTCTGAATGAAAACACCTAAATGTACTTAACTCTATCCCTGCTTTGAGATTTTTTTTTCTTTATTGATTTTAGAGAGAGGGGAAGGGAGAGGGAGAGAGAGAGATAAACATCGATAAGAGAGAATGTCAATTGGCCACCTCCTGCATGCCCCCCACTGGGAATTTGGCCCACAACCTGGGCATGTGCCCTGACTGGGAATCGAATCAGCAACCTCTTGGTGCAAAGGTCACACTCAACCCCTGAGCCACACCAGCTGGGCTGCTTTGAGATTTTTTTTTTATCCTCACCTGAGGACATTTTTTTTTTTTTTTTTTTTTTTTTGCATTTATCTTCAGATAGGAAGAAAAGGAAGGAGGGAGAGAGAGAGAGAGAAACATCGATGTGAGAAGACACATCAAGTGGTTGCCACCCACACTACCCCAACCAGGGCTGGGGACAAATCGCAACCAAGGAATGTGCCCTTAGCGGGAACCAAACCCGGGACATGGGCCAACGCTCTAACCCTTGAGCCAAACTGGCCAGGGCCTACTTTAAGATTTTTAAGTTTAGTTTTGAGCTCTTCAAGGCATCATAAACATCTTTAGAAGTACTCTCTTTTTTCTAAAATTAGATTCTTAATTCTTTGTTCAGTGGCTCTGCTTGTGCGTGTAAGGATCCATATTGTCCATGACTAATAACCTCATTGAGACACAGGTGGGACAGTAGGGTTAGCATTCTGTTCACACCTGAGGTTGTGACCTGACAACTACTGTATTTGGCTGATTTGTGCTTATTTTTTTGAGAGGGTGCCCTGGATGTGGTTTGGTTTGAGCTTCCATAGTGGCATGGGTACCAGTCTGACACATTTCTCTCTTGACACAGGGTGAAGTCCTGGGCATCACTAGGTTTGGCCTGGCGAAGATGAAGGAGAGTGTGCTGATGCTGGCCTCCTTTGAGAAAACGGCCGACCACCTCTTTGACGCCGCCTACTTTGGGCAGAAGGACTCCGTGTGTGGTAGGTGTGGTGTCTGAGCATTACCAGGGGCCTGGGCTGTTTGCAACTTAGAGCCTGGCTGGGGCTTTCTGGGAGATGAACAAACTGAGTGAGCAGAGCTTTTATTTTTTAAGAATAAGGTCACAGCCCTGGCTGGTTTTGCTCAGAGTCGGCCTATGGACTGAAGAGTTGCGGGTTCAACTCTGGTCAAGGGCACGTGCCTCAGTTGCGGTTCGATCCCTGGCCCTGGTTGGGGTGGTGTGGAAGACAACCAGTCAGTGGTCTCTCTCATGTCGAAGTTCTCTCCACCCCACCCCCATCTGAAAATCAATATATCCTTGCGTAAGGATTGAAAAAAAAAAAAACATAAAGTTACAGATCATGGATTTGGAACCAGTCAGTCTCATCTCCAGAGCTTGGTTGGAGCTTCCCGTGTCTCCCACGTCCATTAGAAGCCTGCTCTGTCAGGGCGTTCCGTTTGGGTCCAGGAAGAAAAGATCGACCCTGGGCTTGCAGGAGCTTTTCCCTCTGTGGAGTCGGCCGTACCGCTGCCGTACCCGCTGATGGCGAGGCTGGCAGGAGGGCCAGTGCCAGGTGTCCCGTTCAGCCTGACTCCCTGGGAAAGGCAGCCCCTGTGCTGGGCACCTTAAATGCCTGCATCTCAGCACCTCTGCGAGGTGTAGGTGCTAAGCCCTTTCACCAGTGAGAAGACCAAAGAAGCTCACTTGTCTGCCATCGAGTCAGACGGCAGTCTCCGTGCGCTGGCCTTCTCCCCAGCCACGCTGTATCTCTGACGGGAGCCCGGGGCAGGGAGTGTGAACAGGACCGTCACAGAGGCGCCTGCTGCCCACCTGGCTCCTCCCGAGTCCTGTGCCAGTGCCTGCTTTTACTCTCGCCTTTCTCACGCCAAGACCCTGCAGGCCTGAGGTGGGAGCAGTGTGAGGGGCTGGGTGCAGGAGGCTCAGTAGCCTCCCCAAGTCACAAACTCGTCAGCCCACTGAGGGATTCCAAGCCTGGCCACCATCCTCGCCTCCAGAGCTTCGTAGTGGCCATTTTCCATCTCGCCACATGCTCTTGTGTGGCTTTTGCCACACAGGTGATTTGCTAATGGTACGCTTCAGGTGAAGGAAAGGAGAAATTACACAATTCTTTAAGATAATAAAGGGTGAAAGGAAGAAAAGATAACAGAGATTGGGGCAAGGGAAGGCCAAAGCCAAAGTAAAGTAAGAGCAAGTCTGCTGGACAAGGATGCTGAGACCCAGCACCTCGACCTTGCCACCAGCATGTGGGGCCCTAGAGCCCTGCTGCCCTCCCACCCTCCCATGGCCCTGCCCATGGCCCTGCCCACTGCTCCCTCTCTCCACTACCAACCCCTTTAGGGGCCTGGCACAGCCACCCCACTCCCACTTTGAAATCTTCCCCCTCCTCCTGGTCCTTTACATGTTGTAGTGTCATTCCCCACTGCGTGTTGGTTTTTAGTTTGGTAGTTTGCCTCTCTGGTTTCCCAATAGCACAAAGCCCAGAATGTCGGAGGCACATGCTTGCTTGTTTCGGAGCCTGAAACCTGACACAGAGCCCAGCCTTTGGATCTTACAGAGCTGGAATGGGGCTCGGGAAAAGAATCTGCACCACCTCCTTATTCTGTCACTCTACAAGGAGCCCCTCCTTTGAGTGTTTCCAGTGAGGGCGGTGGCTCTCCCAAGGCTCGGGGCACCATTGAACCTGCCCCAGCCCTGGCCCCTGAGAACAGCCAACAACTTGCTGTTGCTGTTTCCAGGGGGATTGTCACATCATCGTATTGTCCTCTGATCGTATAGTCCTGTTGTTTGCTTTTCTTCTAGGCCCTCAGTTAAGCAAACACTGGGTGGCAAATTCGGGATTCCCTGAGCGTCATTCACCAGCCTTGCTGTCTAAATTGGTGCTACGGAGGGTCTCGGGCTCAGACGGAGAGAACTGCTGGGCCGTCTGACTCCAGCCAGCGGCCGGGCTGTGGGTGGGCGCTGCCCTTCCCCTGGTTAGAATTCCCTCCCCATCCAGGAGCATGGTGCCAGCCTGTGCTTTGCAGCCATCTCCACGTCAGATGAGGAGTAAAGCCACCAGCCCAAGTTCAACCACTGGCTGTGTAGTGGAGCTGGGACTCAAATCCCAGTTTCTGGATTCTATGTCAGTGTCTTTCTTTTTTTTTATCCTCACCCAACAACATTTTTGCATTTATCTTCAGATAGAGTGGGAGGGAGAGGGGCGGGGAGAGAGAGAAACATCGATGTGAGAGAGACAAACTGACTGGTGCCACCCACACGACCTCAACTGGGGCTGAGGACAAACTGTAACCGAGGTACGTGCCCTTAGTGGGAACCGAACCTGGGACTCTGGTCCGTGGGCCGACGCTCTAACCGTGGAGCCAAACTGTCCAGGACACATCAGTATTTCTGTCCTGACAACCCACCGTGTGTTAGAAGCTCTCTAATCTCCTTCTGGTTGGTTTCAGGGGTGTCCGAATGCATCATCATGGGGATCCCCATGAACATTGGAACCGGGCTCTTCAAGCTGCTCCACAAGGCCAACAGGGACCCGAATCCTCCCAGGAGGCCCCTAATCTTCGACACAAACGAATTCCACATCCCCCTTGTCACATAGTCCAGGGAAGAAGGAACCACTCTCTGACCTCGGCTCCTTGTCCTGTCTAGAAAGGGGCTTGAGACCAGAAGCTGCCTCAGCATTGTGCTCCCTGGCACAGAGACCCCGATGTCCCATCATGCCAGCAGCCAGGGAAGGCCCCCTGCGCCCCTGGGAGCAGCTCACCCTGTGACCCTGAACACCCTGCAGTGCTTGTTCCGGACAGCTGAGGTTCTGTGCACCTGCCGCACACCCTCCCTCCCTGACCTACAGTGAGGCCCCAGCCAGGCACCCTCACTCATCCCCGCCTCACCTGGCTGTCCGGTTGCTCCCAGGGGGTCTCACACCTGCCCGGGAATGAAGGGTCTGAGCCCCAGGGCCAGGGCACAGTCCCAGGTTTTCCATTCCTCCGTCCTGCCTGAATCTCAATGTGATGTACTCATGTAAACATTGTTACTATTATTTATTTGTTAAGTTTGAAAATTTTGGAGTTTTTGTTATTTGGTTTTACTTTTGAAACCAAGAAGCTATAGAAACCAAGAAAGCCAGCGTTGAAGCATCACTGAACAAGCTGGTTAAGCAAATGAGACAGCCTGGGATTGGTCATTGAGCCGAACTGTCTTGAGGCCCCGGCTGCTCTGAAGCCTGGCACAGGTGCCCTGGCTACCCTGTTGTCCCATCTACCTTGAGTTCCTACTGGTGGTGGCACCACCTTGTCAGAGTCGAGCCCATCTCCCAGGCCGCGGGGGCCTTGCCGGCCTGGGCCCGCTGCAGGAGGCCTGCGTGTGCTCGGAGCGGCTGAGCAAGGCTGGTCCAGCTGCCGGCACTGCCCGCGCAGCGCCCACACCTCCTGAAGTCATCGCCTGTGTGCTCACGGACAGGTGCAGAGCTGCTGGCCCTAGGAGGGCCCCCGGGGGCGGTGGCACCAGGTGCCAGCTGGAAGGGGTGACAGGGTCACCCAGACAGGAAGGAAGGAGGCGCACACAGGGTGGGGGTCACCTGGAGCTGGGGACTTGCCCCATTGGCAACAGCAGACTCCTCGAAGAGTAAACCCACTGTGACAATAGAAAATACATGTCAGCCAGGCTGCGAGGAGAGAACCAGGAGGGCATCCCAGAGACCCGCGTCCAGTCTGCTCATGCCCCGGCCATGGCTGCACCCTCACGAGGGGTTTCCTACAACCTGGAAAGAAACGACGTAGCTTGTCTTCTGGAGAGCAGAAAGGGTGTGCTGCTGGAGACCGTGCTTTCTACCGAATTCGTTCCTTAGGGTCGGCCCAGGTCAGGGAGGAGAAATGGCGGTGGCTGCAGCTCCTCTCGAGAACATCCTTGGAGCCTGGTCCCGCTGTTCTGACTGTTCATCCCCCCGGTGGGGGGGGGGGGCCTGGGAAAGAGGAGGTGATAGAGGAAAGAGATGCTGACGCTAATTTCTGGCTGCGTGCACTTGAAGTCGACTTCTGAAACGACTCAGCTGATTATCTCATTGTATAAAGGTGCTGGAAGGAGTAACACCCAGAGATGGGAGTTGATTGTTGAGGAAGAAGATGGTTTGGATGATTGAAGAGACGGATGTGGTCGAAGAACAAGTAGGGGAAGCTCAAAGAACTCAAGTGTTGTATAAAGTTTTACCTACATTCTTTGGACATTCCCTAGTTGATTTCCCACAATCTGAGTTAATGATGCTAAGGTACTTAGTACAACCATTGGTCCTTGGATCTGTGTTACAGTGAGTGCTTTCTCTCCCATACTGATGTGATTCTGAATTAGGAATTTTTAACCAAATCTTAGTGTCCCGTGGACTGAGAGGTCCCGGTTTGATTCCCAGTCAGAGCACATGCCTGGGTTGCAGGCTCCATTCCCAGTAGGGGGCGTGCAGGAAGCAGCCAATCAATGTATCTCCCTCACATCGATGTTTCTATCTCTCCTCTCTCTAAAAAAAGTCAATAAAAAACATTAAAGAAAAGACTCAGGTTTAAAATGTTATTACAAATTGTAGTGTGGCTCTATGGTCCCCTTAACACCCAGGAGGTTGACCTATGAACTTTCCATAGGGTATCAGTGATGTGGGAAGAAAACGACATTTTTCTTCATGTTCAGCCCCCCGCCCCCTCTGTCTGAACTGAGCTAACCTGGGGTGTCACCTGAGACCTCACCCCGGCAGTGCTTCTCCCAACCTGCAAAGGACCTCAGAGCTGCGAAGCTGCCTCCCTGGAATCTGGGAAGGAAGCTCAGGCCTGTGGGGTCCAGGACTGCTGGGCACCACGAGGGCCAGGGAGGGAACACCAGCAGTGCCCGTTCCTGTGTGGGACATGCTTGCGGTGGGGAGGGGAGGTCGTGGTGGTAGTGTGCTGTGAGCCCCATCCTGCCTGAGGGAGTGCTCGGTGAGACCTGATTGCCACGGTGCAGACAAGGGGTTAGGGTTAGATCAGCCTGGGTCTGAACAGAGGGGTTTTGCAAGGGAGCTTATCACCCATTGAGAACTGATGTCCTGCAGGTGCTGGTTCTCCTTGGATACTGCCACCTGTTTGCACCACTTGCATAGGAAGCAGTGGCTGGTGAGCCCTTCTCTGCACCCCACTGTGTGTGCCATGGGTGGGTGGTGAAATGTCCCCTCACGTGCTCATCTACTCTGCCCTTGGCATTAGCAAGCACAGAGCGTGAAGACCAGATAGCGGTGTAGTCTCCAGAGAGCTCAGTAGGTTAGGGTTTTACGCCGGACCTAGTTGGAAAAAATAAGAAAAACATTTAAATTCTGTCTCATTCATTAACATACATATTTCTGACTAGTAATGTGTCTGGTTGTTTGCCTTTATCTTTCTACAAGGATTAAAACAGCCATTGAAATAAGCCCCTGCTTTGTTCAGCACTTGGAGGGTGGGAGAGACAGCCTAGAGTCTGTCAGTAGATCACAGTGTGTTTCTGTTTCGGGTTTTCCACGTGTATTCGCACTGACTCGGGTCTCATTGAACCTGACACTGTGTAATGATTTTTCGTAAATTTTGCTGTCTCTTGGCAGAATTCTATTTTTCTAGCAAAGCTCAAAAGAGGAAAATGTGTTATACATAAAACTAGCAATCATCCTTGTAGGTCAGCGATCTTCAGCTGGCGTGCCGCAGTTTTAGTGTTAGTTTATGTGTGCCAGGAGATGAGAAAGGTTGCGGATCGCTGCTGTGGGTTGTGAAACAGGATGACTGGGCTACACGTGCGCTCTGTCCCTGCAGCACGCCCGCTTCCGGTGTTGGAGGTCAACAGTGAGCACCAGCCCGCCCCTCTCATGGAGCCGACTCAGACCCAGTGGAGGCAGTGCAGTGTCCCCTCAGTCTACTGGAAGTGCCATCTGGCCAGGGTTAGGTGCCTCGCTTAGCTGTTCGTTCAATAATTAAGGGCCTACCACATCCAAGGCACTGTTCTAGGTACTAGAAATAAAGCAATGAAACAGGTAAATTAAACACTAATGCATCTTAAAATAGTTCAGCAAAAGGTGGAGAAAAGAGGTTCTGCATCAAACTTGGCAAAAAATGTGGCCAGCACAACATAGAGCCTGGTTCCTGTGGGCAGGCTCAGCACATCAGGACTCACCAGGGCAGGGAAAGGTCCCTGGGAGCCAGAGCAGCTCCCTGCCCCCCAGGTTCCAACCATCCCCTCAGGGTCCTTCAAGCCCCCAACTGACCTCTTCCCCTTGGGCTTAGGTGTTGAGCAGAGGACACAGCCTGCAGGCTACTGTCCTCTCCCCAGCCCCAACATACTGGCAGTGTTAGTGAGGGACTATTTAACTCCAGGAATGTTTGTTAAGCTTCTGCTCTGTACCCAGCAGTGTGCTAGGCCCTTAGGGAAGGTCCCTACATATGTGGGACTTACCCATCTAGCCATGGTAATGTGGTTAGAAGCCTGGGTTCCATGATCAGACTATTGCAATTCAAATCCTAGTTTCCCTTTCTGGCTGATGACCTTGAACTTAACCTCTCTTTGCCTCACTCATTTATAAGACAGGAATGCTTTTGAGGGGTATCAAACTCAGGGTCATTGAAGTTTCAACATGATTGCGCATATATGGTCTTAGCACAGTGCCTGGCACAGAGTATGCACCAAGTATGTTTGCAAGTACGTGACAATCACTGTGTTTACTAAAAAATGGTCTGGGAATTCACACTAAAACCCAATCCTCTAACCCTTTTTAATTCACCCAGATGCAGCTGTCCTTTGTGGCCTTGGGGATCAGGCCTCCCTAGACCTAACCCCGTCCATCTGCTCATCAACAGGTGTCAGTGTTTCATACCACGTAGGAGGAAAGTAGGGAAGGGCACTGACATTTGGCCATCATGTAGCTAAGCGCTTGGATATTTAAATTTGAGTCATTAAGGAAATGTGATTTCAAATTAAGAATTACGGGTAGTAAGACCAAAATAACTCATATTTTTTTTATTGAGAAATATGGATATTGATATATTTATTTATGTAGGTTAATTATGTAGCAGGGTGTCCCATGAGGTAGAACTTAACTTTTTCTCTTTAAAGGAAAGGTTGCCATTTAAAAATCATCAGCAGACTTCTGGTCAAGATGGCAGTGTAGGGAAGCGGGGTATTGCCTCCTCCCACAACCACATCAAAACTACAACTAAACTACAGAACAACCATCATTCAGAACCGCCCGAACTCGAGCTGAATGGAAGTCCTACAACTACAGAATTAAAGAAGCAGCCACATCCAGACTGGTAGGACGGGCTGGTCCCACACTCACGTGTGGCGGATAAAAATCAGGAGGACACCTCGGCTGTAAAGATCCTCCCTGAGGAGTGAGGGGTCCCCGTCCCACACCAGGCCCCAGTTCAGGGTTCCAGTGAAACACCAGCAGAGATTGAGGCTGAGGGAGGCTGCGGCTTCTGGAGCCCCAGGCAGCTCCTCTTAAAGAGCCTGCACATGGACATACTGGAACTCACTCCCTCTGAACTCCAGCGCAGAGGGGAGGCAGCTTGAAAGGCACCGGAGACATACGGGAAAGAACTGGGCCGTTTGGCATCGGGGCAAGAACTGGAGAGAGCTCTCTCCCAGACA